ACAGACTGACCATCAAGCCCTTAAATGGTCACATAATGTTAAAGACCCATCTTCCCGACTAATGAGATGGAGAGTAGAATTGGAAGAATATGAATATGAAATAGAGTACAAAAAGGGAAAAGACAATATAGTAGCAGGCAGTTTATCCAGAATGGATAATTCAGAACCACTCAGAATCATAGAAGACAAACCGGTAATAGTGAAAGTACGAATTCAAGCCAGTCCCAAACAGATAGGCGAACTACTGAACGACTCCAACTTTACACAGACTGGATTGAACAATGAAGACGAACTCTACGAATGTTACAAAGACTGGAAAACTACACCAACCCCTTACTCGCCTATAAAGATAGAAGCTAACAAACCATATTGGGAACAATTATCATACGACATGTTAGGATCCTATAACGAAAAAGAATGGTTAGTTAAATTATACTCCTTAATGGCTTCACAACAAAACCCACGTAGTATAAATTTTGGTATACACGACATCGCGAAGAATTAGAAATCGTTAACATCCAACTCGTGCTTCGATTCCTTATGAAAGACTACGTAGACAAAACATTGAAATTCGCGTCTCAATCAGTAACTGAGCTAACTCGCGAAAAGATGAACCAGGTACTTAGAGAAAATCACGATTTATCCCAAAACTTGGGCGGAAACAAAACAATAAAGAAAATAAATGGTAAAGGTACTACTGGAAAAGCTTAGAAAAGGACGTAATAGAATATATTAGGAATTGTGAAATCTTCCAAAGAAACAAGTTAACACGCGTCAGATCGCGAGAGGAAGCAGTAATAGTAGACACACCCGAAAATCCAAACGATAAAATCAGCTTCGACATAATAGGATCGCTAATCGGAACTAAACGACATAACCAATACGTATTGTCAATCCAAGACTGTTTAACCAAATACCTTGTGCTTCTCCCTTTACCCGACCAAAGAATCCATTCGATCATCAATTCTCTAATGGAACATTACATTTACATATTTTCGTCTCCCAAACATATCTTAACGGACCAAGGACAAAATTTTATCTGTGAACTAATGGAAGAATTCGGAACACTGTTCAATATCAAACACATAAAAACAACGAGCTTCCACCCTCAATCAAATGGTAGCCTAAAACGCGCATACGCTATTATAAAAGACATGATAAAAACTAGTATCGATCAAAACAAAACCGAATGGGACGAGCACTTGAAATATATCAGTCTAACATATAGTACCTCTGTACATTCAGGAACACATTATACACTATTCGAGTTAACATTCGGTAGAGAAGCTAATATGCCTTTTACAATTTCGACTACTCCAAACCTATCCAAAGATGAATTAATTACCCTTATGGAAACGTAGATACGTGGAATATTTGCAAAATGCGAAAAGAATAATAACGAAAAATAAACAGAAGCACAAAGAAACTCAAGACAGTAAAATAAAAATAAAAAATATTTATAAGAAAGGAGACCTAGTCTTATTGCACAATGAGAGCAAAGCTCGCAAGTTATATCAGGAATGGTTAGGACCATATGAAATTTACCAAGTTCAAACTCCTGACTATACTTTAATAATATATGACAAACTTGTCAATATTCACGGAAACCGTATTAAATCTTATTATTCCAGATTATCATAGGAGAAACTGGGAGAGCCAACATTTACCTAACACCTTTGACCCACTCGCAAATAATCACTGAAACATTAGAAACGAGCCACACATACAACAATGAAATAAAAATAACAATTTTGCTCGACCTGAATGATCAATCAAAACATGGAGAATATATACTTGTTAAGTATCAACATACACGAATTTTGTAAACACAATACTAAACAATGCGAAGGAACAGACTACCACACATTAGAAGTAAGGAATAGCGTCAGAAACAAAATAGGAAAACTCCATAATCTACTACAAAGGAGAGCAAAACGAAGTCTCATCAACGCCATCGGAAGCATATCAAAATCACTATTCGGAACCCTAGACGACAATGACCTAAGCTTAATCAACGCCAATATAGACAAACTATACGAACAAAAATTACAAAAAAAACGAAATTACGAAAAAAACATCACGAAAATTGTCCAAAACCAGATAGCACTCGTTCGCACCTTTATACATGACGAACAATTCCAAAACACGGTAAACAGAATAGACAAAGGAGAACTAAAATTGCACGAATTGGAAACCAAAGAACACTTATCACATGGACTACTCATTATAGAAACTCCACTGACAGACTTAGCTATTAAAACCAACAACTTTTAGTTCATGCTGACATTAGGCAAACGAGGAATAATCAACACCACCCTAATACCAATAGACACCTTCCTAGAAATGTTCAAACAATTAGCAAAAAATTATGACCAGCCAATCGAACTGGTAAGAGAAAACTTTCAAACTCTCATAGACATTAACACTCTAAACCTCATGACCCAAGCTAACATTCTAATTTACCAAATTAAAACACCCATCCTAGATAGAGATGAAGGAAAATTAATCAAATATTACACCATACCAGAGAAAATCGACGGAATCTTCTTAGCACCAATTCTTGAACACGAGTACGCGGTAATTCAACCTACAGCTCACGTTGCAATAGATTACATATACATACACACACTATGTAAAGACACCGCGATAGGAAAACTCTGCAAACTCAACCAACTAGTAAGCCACACCAAAGACAAACAAAAATGTACGAACCATTGTAACACAGCAGTATTCAAAATTAACAAAATTTACTAACGTTTGTACCAATGGAAAAAACTAACCAGTACATAGTAATACCACAGAACCCCATAACGGTACACGCCTTATGCACCTACCCAGAAGAAATTACAATAGATAAACCAATCATATTATCGACAAAGAAAAATTGTATGTTAACATATGGAAATAACGTAATGAAGATTGGAGAAAATACCGAAAACGCCACTATTCGCATAACCAATTACACCTTGCCAGTTGATATCAAAGATTTAGATGCCGAGCTATTAAAGAATGTTTTGCCAACAATACCCAAAGTTACTCCAAACTTCAACAATTTCAAGAACGCATTAGACCAACTAGATTCTCAACTAACTAGCCTTCGCACCGACCATAGAGTACTCTCAACTAAAGAAACTGTATCATATTCTTACGTACGCTGGATGGATATCATTAGGACTAATAACCTTGTACATACTTTTTACAAAATAGGATTATTCGATAAACTTAAGAAAATAATTCCAATTACGCTATGTATCAAAATCTGTTTTAACAATAATAATGTAAGTCACACGACAAGCCCAGTCGAAACAAGGGTCCTCCTAGGAATTACCATTAAAAGACTCTAACTCAGAAAAATTCCTACCAGTCCAGATACAACCCGAAATCATACGCTTCCCAGAAGTAAAGCGAAGTCTAACAAGGGGGGTGTGAAAAGGTCGTATCATCTGATTACTATCACACGCCTCATCGGCAAAACACATCTTATCTCCAGAAGGCCAAAATTCAACATCAAGTTCCCAAATGAATCACAAGAAGACACACACGGAATTTTATGTATAAATACCACCGACAGTTCGAATAAAGTCAGTCTTGATTCTCCAACCAAACCTTACGTTTCGTGACTTTCGTGACCACCAAGGTAACTACGGTCGATCTATGTGAGGAAGCAATCGAAGGTCGCTTTGTAAAAACGGGAGTAGCTATATTACTATATTAACGGGAGTAGCTACACGAAAATTAATCAATCTCTTTCTACGTTCCACTTACTCTAATATTCTTACGTGTATTCTGGAATCATCTCTTTCCTCTATATTGTCCGAGGATAATTCCGTGTGACAATATCATGGGAGACAAGTCTCACGGTAATTGAACCAAACGTAAACAGCTCGTTTGAGAAACGATATAAGGCCATCGAGCCAAACGTCAGAAAGACGAGGTGCAATAATCAGACCAAATGTAAACATTACGCCCAAGAAACGTAGTACGTCATTTGGACTACACGTGCATTTACATAGCAACAGCCATTTGGACCATTTCGAACGCACGGCCAAAAATAACCCGACGTGTAATCAATCTGGCTGCTATTTATGGCTCGCGCTATTAGAAGTTAAATCGTAAGGCAAAGGATTAATATATAACAAACTTTGGAACTTTGACATATTGTGTTAAGTGTTAGGTTACCTTACATGCATTTAACGAAATAAGAGCTCCTTGAATTTTCTAGAATATTGTCTCTTTTCATAGTTAATAAGATATAGTATTGAACTGGTTTGGCTAACACGCTAACACTGCTGTGTGTGTGTGTATATATATACACACGCGCGCGCGCGCGCACGCACGCACGTACATACATGCATATATGACATTGTACAAATCAACTTTTTGGGATATCTAATACTAGGTATATAACATTAATAATATTAATATTAAATAATAATGTATATAGGCTATAATAATAAAAATAATAAGTACGATAACAATAATAATATTAATATTAAACAATAATGTATGTAAGCTATAATAATAAAAATAATAATAGTATATAAATCAGTCATTTCCTTTAACTTAATACATTAAGGAAACAGCGCACGTCACTTGATATACTAAAGTTTCAGTTTAAAACGCATATAATTTAAAATATTAAGAATCACATCACTTAAATTCAGCCTTCGCGTTTTATATAAATGGTTGCAGTATTTTATACTTCTTTCGATTGATCGCTCGTATAATCATGCGGAATTGGATTAACGATGACTCTGAAAGTATGGACAAAAGAAAACTGTGGAAAAAGATATCTTTTTATTTAGAAAAATTAAAAATCAATATAATTTTACTAACATACTATAATGAAGTTTTATTTCAGAAACAGTTCTACTTAGAGGATAACTTACCTAATAATTATATTTATATATATCGATAGGAAATTTCATATAAGCAAAATCATAATTTTTTGATATTCTATATTCTATTTAATAACTTCATAGGAGCGAAGCATTCGAGGCAAGCGTATTCTATGCTTAAACAGAAAGTTTGACAAGTTCCAGCAATTTCAAACTATCTCCTTAACCAACCGTCATTGGCAAGTTTATTTTAATCAAAAAAATTTTCTCACCATTTTTCTAAAACCAGTACTCTTTTTCTCTTTCCTTTTTGACATCGACGTTACACTACTACTTCTAGATTCATCACTTTGATCCGTTAACAGACCATTCGTAGGTGTATCAACATCGGTAAAAATTTTTTCTGTAGATAGTTTTGTAGAAGTAGGACTTACTTGTACAGTCTTATCGTTAAAATCACCTGAATCTTGATTCCATTGTCCATTCGTATCATTTGAATAAGCTATTCTTTTCTTTCTTGTACTTAAAGCAGTTTTCATAAAAGAAGATGTTACATTTAATCCTGTGTCTTTTAACATAGTACTAATATTTGTAGAATTTAAGACATCTTCAGATTCTGCAATTTGTTGATTAGAAGCAATCCTTTCTTGAAAACTATCTGCTGATAACGAATCTGAATCATTTAAATTTTCAATACATGAACTATTTAACTCGGAGATTTTAATGGCATCTGTTTCATAATTGTTAGCAGATGATAACATTAATTGTATATTACACTTTGCTTCATGAACATTATCATTAAACCATTTAACTGTGTTTTCTGGAGTAGATTTTAGCTTTTTACAAATCTGATTTTGAGAATCCATTATATGTAGTACTTCAATAGATGAAGCAACTTTTGGTGTTATTTCCATCTCGTGTACAACATTTGTTGGAGTTTTGTACTGTGTAATTGGATATATACCTGTATCATTATTTACATTTGTTTGATTACTTGTTAAAGTGGTTGTTTTTTTTCGTTTCTTTTTCTTTTCCCTCTTTATTTCATAAGATTTATCAGCAATCATCAGTTCACGATATGTACCTGTAATGTGAGCAGCTATTTCGCTTGGTCGTCGCTTTTTTATTTTCTTTGTATGAGAACTGAAGTTCTCTGCACTTTTACGGCGCATCATGTCTTTCCCCAGCTGTTTTTCCTTTATTTCAGTTCCTTTATTATTATTTCTCCAACAGTATACTAAAATTAAGTATATCACAAAAACTTCTGAACATATCAACAATATATGTTGACCTATCGTAAAAATTTTTCCACGCCAACTATCACGATCGTACAAAAGATTTTTCACTGATTTTGAAAGATTAACAATCTTTTCTTTTAAAATAGCAATTTCTTCTGCCTTTTTTAACTCGCGTTCATCCCTTTTTCGCGTTTCCTCACTCATTGCTGAAACTGTTCTTTCAAGTGATCTTTGCATTTCTTCAACTTGTTTCTTATATCGACGACTTAATTCTTCCAAATACTGTCCACTTAAAGACATATTTCTCTCTAATACCTAATAATAAAAATAAAAATAATTTAATAATCTAAAGCAACATATTCTATAGCAACAAAGCAATGTGTGTATATATGTCGTGCATATGTTCTTCTGTGTAAATATATATACATATATAAACACATATAAAATAGGATAACATTAGATAAATCAATGTTGTCAATTATATGAAATAGTAAAATAATCTATTTAACAAAAAAATTTCATGTAAATTTATTATATTTTAAAGCTATCTAAGCTATGTTGAATATTCATTATACTTTCAAACTTAAGGAAATTATATTCTAAAATCTATATACTTTTTCATAATATAAAATAGTTATATAACTAATAAAATTAACTTGACAAACTGTAACATACCTTGATTCTATTAGATAATCTTAAAAAAACAGATTCTTTTTGCGGCAAGGTATTTGGTATTGATTGTGTTACTGAAGGACTTGCAGGACCATTTTGAATATGTGCTGTTTCTCCTTCTAAATCTTTTAAGTCGGATAATAAGTTGTCAAATGTTAAAGAATCTTGAGATGGTAAATTAATTTCTTGATCTAGAATTTCTGTTTGCACTAATTTCCCTTCCTGGTCCATATGTTCCAATTTTGCTGCTTTATTTGATGCACTAGCTAATTCCAAAGGTTCTACATCTGATACTGTATCTTCACTTGGAAACTCATTACTGTCAGTAGTAGTTATTGGAACAGAGACAGTTGTTTGAGGTAAGTTTTCAATGAAAGTACTAGAAGTTATGCATGGTTCTTCAGAAGGCTTTGAAATTGTATGTTGTCCAACATTTAAAGATACAGGAACAGTTGTTTGTACTTCAGCCTGAATTATTTCCTCGTTATTGCTTTTATTAGATTCTAAAATTGGTATTGATGTTTCGTTTTTTAACTCTTCTTCTCCAAAAGTTTCAACAGACTTTATTTGTGAAATTGTGCTCTTAGAATTGGTGGAGGTCTGAGGTGTACTAGTAACTTTGCTAGTTTCTACACTAGATATTTCTTCATTACCCTTTTTCAATTCCCCATGAGACATATCAACATTTGAGCTTGAAATAGGTGTAGCTGATGTATGGTGAAACGATTTAATTGTATCACTACTGTAATCTTCTTTATATTTGGCTGAGGTATCTTCCTTAATAACTTCCTTTAGAGTACTAAATGATATTTCATGACTTGTATTCATTACCATTTTACGTTCCTTTATTGCCAATACATTACAAAGTGCTGCAATATATTCAGATTTAAGTATAGACGTTATGAATGTTAACTGAAAAGTTTTATTTGAAACACATTTTTCAACAAGTGGATCATGTTTTTCTGTATTTTTCACATTGTCATACTTTTCTTTCGTCTCTTTTCTTGCAAAAGTTTCAATTCCCACACCATGAATCTTACAAAGTCCATTTTGTCTTAAAGTTCTGTTGACAAAATCAATTTTAAGCAATTCATTTAGTTGTTTTTCTCTACAGCTAATTAATTGAAAAATTTTTGCAAATTTCTGATCTGAGCAACTATCACATAAAATAATATACCTCGGTGTAGTACAACTTACAAACGAGTTTTCAAGAATATTACCGCTATCTATACTTTGTTGTATTTTTGTAATATTGTTATAAGTCAAATCACTAGACTTCACTAACACTTCAGCTGCCTTTTTCATAATACTCAATACAGCATCTTTAGCACTTCCAAACAAATTTCTTGGTGGTTCGCCATTTTCAACATCCAAAACTTCCTCTTCGTCACTGTCTTCTTCATCATCTACATCTGAATGCGTCTCTCTCGAAATTTGATTCTCTGTTTCTGTTTCAAGAACCTCAAATTCACTAGTACCATAAGCACGAAATAAAGAAATGGGGCAAAAATGTTCAGAACCGTAATAAGTCTGAAGTTCTATTTTTATAAATTTTCCAAAAAGATGTGGTTGTAGAACAAAACTTTGAATATCTTTTACATCTTTTGCAGTAAATTGACCAACCGGACTCCAATCTCTCGTAGGAAAACGATCACTAATATAAACTAAGAAATCCTTTGGCGATGAACTAAAAAGCTCAAAATTGGCTAATTCAATTTTCTTAGCTTGAATTGCCTCGCAAAGTTCTACTACAAACCATATACGTGATGTACATGTATTGAGCATATATTCATCTCTAGTAGAAACTAAAACACTTCTAACACTTCGTGCTTCTGGATTTGCAGCTACAATTTTTGCACCACAATCTGGTGAAGCATAATTTTTAGAACGAACTTTCATTCCACCAATGCCCCGGGTTGGTGCCCCAGAATTCTGAATAGAAGCATTTGGATGTGCTATAAAAATATAATTATTGTTTTAAAAGATTTACAATTAAAAATAAAAGATATTAAAATAAAAAAATTAAATGGTAATTATCTATTAATAGAAAATAAGTCCTTCCATTGAATCAATGACAGAAACAAAATAAAAGAGAAATTTTTTATATATAATGGATTTAAATCTTGTTTCGAAATTTTTCTGACTAAGTGTAATAAAAAAAGGTAAAAAGGATACAAAAATATTTGCTAAACATATGTTTAAAAAGAAAGGCACTAAGAATACATTTTATCATAAAACACATTTCATTGAAACAAATATTTCTACCTATATGAATTCACTGTAAGAACAATAATAAAAAGAAATAGTAAATATGTAACTAAAATTATACAAAAATATCCAAAAGCTTTTGCAATTTTGAAAAAAATATTTTTTAAAAGTTGTCAATGATTATACTAATTATTTTATTAAAATAATTTCAAATTGATTTCCAATACAAATTTTGTACTATTACAGTTGAATTTATGAGTAGTACTCACTTTTTTTTCTTTCAGCTTCTTCTAATCGTTTTTGTGTCCATTCACTGAAAGATGGTATATCCTCATGTGGATTTGTAGATCCTACAGATACAATTCCTTCACTAAGAACAACTGCAGCAGCTTCATCCCTATTATCTCCTACTAGTCGGGCTTTAGCATTAGAATCACTTAATTCTGGAGTTGTTGTAAATGTTGTATCAATTTTGGGTATTTCATCAGAAAATACTTTAACAACACTATCTTCAAGATTTAACTCTGGTTCATCAGTAGCAATAGAGGCTTGTTCAGCTCTTACTACTACCACTATCTCAGGTCTTTCTTCTTCCTCTATTGAATTTGTCAAAGACAAAGATTCTTCTTTGAGAATACTTGTTTCATTAGATCTTTCAGTAATTTCACGAACAATAGATGGTGATGGTGTTTGTATATTAGATGAAATTTTTTCTTGTTCTTTCTTTACTTGTTGTCCTATATTTGTATTTTTTGTCAATAAAGATGAATTATTTGAAAATAATGTTGCCCTTGAAAACTCTGGATTAAGCTTTGGTTCTGCTAAGCTTTGTAACTCAGCTTCAGTTGTATCAACTAAAGTTAAAACTGTTGCTTGTTCATTTTCAGAAACTCTATAACAGGAAATCATAAGTGTATATTTTTTTGATAATTTATCTAATATTTTTTTGCACAAGAAACTATGTATTACATAAAGTGTTATTTAATGTGAAACATTTGAATGCTTCCAATGTAATATGTTTTAATATACAAAAATCTAATGTTTCTACTCGTGCTTTATGAATTTAGGATTTTTTTGAATTTTATTTTTTGAAATTTAGGATTTTTTAAATGAAATTGAAGTTTTGTCTATCATACTTATTAATATTTAATAACGAGGAGACATTTAAAGAAAATAGTAATAAAATGAATATACATTAAACTTTAATAATGTAATAATATCAAGAATGTTACATTTCCAAAATTTTTTCTCTTTTTTCCAACTAGCAATAATCTTACCTTATGTAGCTTATAAAAATTTGTTAAAATTGGAATTCTTCTCATAAAAATAAGCTAACATAATCATATATTATGTAGAGTGACAATAGTATTTGATCATACATTGTATTATAATTACTCTACAAAATGTATTTCATAAATTTAAATATGTTTGCATCTTCCTAAATTAGATTATTTTATTATTCTTATTCTTATATTTCTTATCTTTTATCATCTTCTCTTAATTTATTCATATAATGCAGCCAGTGTCTTATCAATTATTATCTTATCTTTTATCTCAATTGTCAGACACCAGTTATTAATTATGCTTTATTCATTTTGTTTATAATTTTTATAAAGGCATAAAAAACTAAAATGTTTTCTATATTTAATCCAAAAATTTTATACAGTATTAAATTTTGATTATATAAGTAGTTTTATATATGGAATACTGAAAAGACTTTATTACTCAAATATAGAAATTAATATAGATTATATTTATATTATAATTATATAGATATACAAATTAATGAATCAAAATTTTCAACAGTTTCTGTATAAAATATAGCAATACTTAATATCTAATTAAATAAAATTTAATAAAAAATCAGTATTAAAATATTTAGTCACTATTTTTAACTCATTTTTACATCAAAATTACATTTTATTAGTTATACTACAAATTCACTTACATTTGGTACATTTAAAAATCTAGTTTTTCCTAAAGAAATTTTAAAAATAAATTGAATAAATTCATTAAAACTATTTTTCTCATCAATTGCATTATATATTGAAAATATTCCAATAAATATGAGACTTTTAAATACTTTTATAAAAAAAATATATATACTTTGTAAGTTATTTATAAGTTTCAACAGAATTTTCAAAATTAATTTATATAAGTAAAATAATTGTAATATAGTATTTGTTTAAAATATATAATATATAAAAACTACTATTTTATTATAAAAGTTTATAGAATTTAGGTACTATATATCTATTACTTTAATAAAGTAAATCAATCAAAAACTTATTTATGTGTTCCTGTAAATATTCATTGATATATTGTTTTATTTGCACTGTTTTACAGCATTGAACACTGGTAAAAAAATATGTAAAATGAAAAACATTCATATTATAATAAGCACCCATAAATTGAAACAGAAACAACAAATGCCTAATATGAAAAGTATCCAAACCTTTAACAAAGTTAACATGAAATGAACTATAATTAAAAAAGAAAATAAAAAAAATTGCTTATTTTATTATAATTTAGCTTATTTATGATAATTGATCATTTTTTTTTTTTAAATTACATTGAAAACAGCAAAAATATTCTTCAAAAATATAGATATAAAATATTTCTTTTTCTATAATAATTAGTAAGTTCAAAGATTTAAATACTTTGGATTTTTATTTTATAGTCCTATTTCTTAATTTGTAAATTATTAGCTATAATATTTGAATAAATGATATCATATAAATCTTTGATAAGAAATATAAGTATATATATATCAAGAACTTTTCTCCTTTAGGTATAATGTAATACATTCAATACATTATATATTTAAATAATATCTTTATTCTTAAAGTATTAACATGTAAAAATGACAAATATCAGAAATAATCTATTGTTTAACATATATTGTCTTTAATTTCAAACCTTACATGATGAAATATAATGGGATTTTCTCAGATAATGTTGACATAATAAAAACTTACCCCTGAGATAAATTAGGTTGTTGAGTAAGACTTTCAGCTACAATATCTGAATCTTTATAAGGATTCCCTCTCTTTCTTGTTTCACCATTTATAACAGTTTCAAAGGTAGTAGAGTCTTCAGCATATTTTTCCTAAATTGTTATAGATATAAGTCAGATTTTGTCTAATATTTTTAACAATATTTCAATTTATAACATTTTCTTATATTTAAGCCTTACTTCATAATAATGATCTTTGTAATTGTTTTGTAATTTGCGTATATCATGTAGTTTTGTAATTGGTATAGTAGTTACATCTAAATCATCCGATCCTATATTATTCATTGTATCATTATCATAAATTTCAAAAGTTTCATTTATTTTTGAAGACGAATAATAATTGGTTTGTGCATTCTCCGAAGCTACTATGATGAATAGGAGTGCACTGTAAATAAAGAAGTATTATGTAATAAAAAAAAAAAAGAAAGTGCTAAATTAATTTGAAAGATTATGTACTTCTTATTCCAAAATCTAAATCTAAAATTTTCATAAAATTAAAAAATTTTATTTCAGACATTATAAGAATTTCTTAAACCAATTACCTCTATTTTAAAATATTTTTATACATGATTAAAAATAAAGAAATATATTGTACACTTTACTCTTTTTACTCTTAAATAATTTGCTTTATGTATAAAATGGTAATTATAGCCAACAAAAATAAGAAACAAACATAAACTATCTAAAATAAAAGAAAATATACACAAGCATATAAGAAAATGATACATTTTAATATAAACATATTATACATACAAGAGTTTATTGTTGTGACATATAAATAAATAATAAATTTTAACAACTAATAAAAGTATTTAAGGAAAATAAAAATATTAAATACAACTTTTAATATACAAATTAAAAACAGAATATAATCTAAAGAACAATATGCAATTAACAGTTTCCATTTTATAACATGACAATTTATAATCATTTATATAAGTTAAGATTTATAATTATTAAAATAATGATATATTATACTTAATTCTGAAAAAACTAATCATAATTTAGACAGCCAACTTTGTTAAAAATAAGTACATATTAACACATTTATTTAACGTATCATATTTTTATACATATATGTTATTTCATGTAATTCCTTTAAAAAAATTATAATACATAAGGCATTACAGACAATAAATTTTATTTGAATTTGTTAAATAAGTACTATGAACATAAACCATAATAATCTCTGTTGAATATTATTAATTTATGTATTACACAATTTTAGATATCAAATTTACTAATCGATATTGATATTTTGTTTATTTGAAAAAATACCTGTAAGGAGAAAAATAATATTAACCTCATACTTTTCATTTTTATCCGTTTAGGTAAAATATGCCGGTTAAATAATATACTATACTAATATTATCAAAATGCAACGCGTGGCAAAACCTTCGATAATTTTACTTACATGTTCATGTGAATTGTCCATGTAAGAGAAAAATGACAAAATACTTGCCTGGAAGCAACTGATATAAAAAGTAGTGTCCAGTACACGCATGTTATACAAATCTTCATTTTTTTTAATGCTCACATTACACTTCACATCGAAAATTTTACTGTCAATAAATAGATATTTTCGTATATTTATAAATGTATCATTACTTTACCACTATATTATCGTCACTACCGTCATTAATATTGCTATTATAACTGCCACTACCACCTTCTTCATAACCGCTTTTATAACCGTCACTATCGTCACCACGGTTAATATGCACCAAAAATCTGACGTGGTACAATTAGGATGGTTTCGGCATAATAAGAGTTGAATGATCTATAAATTCGCTGCATATCGTCTACCATGTTATAGTAGTAAAGATTTTACACGAAATTCTTTATAATAAATTATAGAATTTCATAAAAAGACACATTTAACATTAAAAACCGTTTTACATGTAACGAAGACAGCTGATTTCATCACGCATGCGCTACAGACGTGTTACTACTAACCTGACTATCTAATGATTTTCTACTGTATAATTTTAATTAAATCATAAGATAATTAATTTCTTCCGATATATCAGAAATTAAATGTCAAATGAAGTGCTTTTTGATATTCTGAATATGAAATTTAAAAATTATTTGTTTTTGTTATAATATTTTTAAAAACAATCTGGTATAAAAATTTCACTATCCATGTATCTTAGATAATATAAATGTTTATCGTACATCGCTTTTAAAACTTTATAACATTTATTTGTTTATGTATTATATACATAATTAACGTATTACATATGATGACGCTGTGTTATTAATTATGATATATAACATTATTGTTATTTAAAATAAATATATAAAAAAAGAAATAAATAAATTTGAATTTAATTACTTTAATCTTTTACTTTTTAATTCTTTTATTAGATCATGTATTAAAGCTCATAAATCCACTTTTGATTAAAAAAGTATCAAAGAAAAAAAGCTATAATATCTAAAACAAATCTTTAAGACTAAGGATTTAGTTAATATATTTCACATTTAATCTAAAATATTTTATTTTAATAAAGCATATGCAATTGGAAAAACTTAAACATTAATAATTTTTCTATATCTTTTTTGAGAAAGTATAGTAATTTTTATATTTGAGCTATAATAATTAATTTTTATAAAATTTATTTCCCCACTTCTCCTTCTCCTTTAAATTTCGTTTTGATCGACGATTAATGTCTTACAGAACTTGATACAAAACGACCGTTTTCTTTGTAATACTAGCTGTGACCAGATGATTTGAGATGTGTGCTGTTTGAAAATAATCTTTGCTCTTCGAACTCTGAAACAGTTCAATAAAAAGTTATATTAAGTTTGAATTAGATTGTGTATAAAGGAGTTATGAAGGAAGGGCTTAAACCTGTCTAAATTTAAAAATTATAAACAAATTTTTGATTAATTTGTATGGCACAAAAATTAGCAGTGTTATCGTATTTTATATAATATTACTTCGAGGAATAATTGGTACAAACACTTTTTATCCAGAAGGATCAATGATTTTTATAATCACACCCACCAAGGAATGAACGAGCTATGTAGCTATAAATAAAATTCGATGTAATAGTATGGGCAAAATTTGACTAATATTTCGGAAACTAAAAAACCAGAAAAGAGTAAGATTTAGAACCAAATTGTTTTTGTTATAAATGTGATGTTTTGAATGGAAGATTTAATACTAAAATCAATACGCAATGAAGATGCGCATAAATACAATTCTACAGCTAATCTGTAGACCAGGACTACATAAGCTAAACTCTAGAGCTTAGAGAGTTTTATCCATTTTATTTTTATCATCTCAACACATAGTCAGTTTTCATTTGTTTTCTTTTGTCAGGACAGTATGTGACTGTACATCAATGATGGGAGATTAAATAGTTTGTGGGAGAGGGTTGGCGGGGAGAGTCTCAATTTCTCCCACCCTAATGATATCCTTCCGACGTTTGCCCTATTGTTCCCACCGGTACCGTTGTCAAATTTTGCTATTGCCATGTTGTTGTCATGTTGTTATTGCATCAAATTATTTATCTCATTTACATGAAACTTGAAAATTGAAATTATATAAACAATTAATCTTCCTCCTTTTATAATTACCATAAGAGAAATTTTAAGTAATGTATATTTTTATACAACTTGACGATAATTTTATTAAACAATTATTTATAGTAAGTAATAAAAGCATTTGAACGCTATATTTCAAGGAAATTCTGTAATCTAAAAATTCTGATTTCAATGAAAATATGTGTATGTGTAAAACATAACAGATTACGCATGAAATAATTATTTTATCAGCGAGAAATGTTTTTGAAAAGGGAAAATCAATAAAGTTTTAAAAATATTTCCGTTTTTTTAATCGAGATTTTTTTTAATCGAATGTAAAAATGACTATCATTGCTATTTTATGGAAATTAATCAAACCCATGTATCAAAAATATTGAACTTAGGAGAGAAGACATAAATAGACACATTTAGTAAATTTGAATCAGTATTTAAAAATACAACTATTGATTTACATGTGCAGTTCCTAAATAAGTTTCAAATTGCTAGACATTCAGTGTATTTCATAAATTTACTTGTTCAGTGTTTATATATTTTTTATATACAACTGGAAGATTATTTTTTTGTATACTTCTGCTGTTGTATTTAATATAAGAATTATTAGTGTTATATTTGAATTGTTAAAATTAAAAATAAGTAATAAAATATTATATGCGAATCACATAATGAGGACAAAACACAAAAAGACAAATAATTAAATAATTAAATTATTTTAAACTTTAAAAATTGTCTGATTCTTACTAGGTAAATATTTAAAATATTTTTTTAGAAATATTGCAAAAACTATGAAACAGTTGAACTGGTGTTGACATTGACTTTGACTCTATATGTATATGGCAGTTGAGATTCTGCATAGAATGAAGCCTTTTTTCAAATTTTGCAAAAATTACAAAATGCTAAGACTTCATTTTCTTTCATTGTATCTTCTCTTTTTATGTAGCCTTACATGAAATCAATCATTGCTATCTTTTCTCTTTCTCGTGATTATTACCAGTGTTTAAAAAATTCATACAATTAGAAACAGAACAAAATACATAATGTGAAAAATAACGCTAGCTCTTTATTTACTCTTATACATCAATTTTTTATAATCAACATTTTTTACATCTATATATCAATTCAATATATTGAATATTTTAACAATGTTAAATTATTTTCCCAAATAGCGTACCAATAGTTAATAGTTGACAGATTTACATTAGAATTTTAGAATTAGTAGAATGATTACATTAATAAAATAGTTCAAATAGTATGCAAAACAATTTTCAATATAATAAAAGAAAGATGTAATCCTTTGTCAGATGAAAATACATTAATGGAAAACATAATTGTATGATTAAGCTGGAATGATATGGATCTTTATATATGAATTATCAGCATTTCTTTTCCTATTGGATTGTTATCTATAACTGATATAAACTACAAGTCATTTATGTAGAACTTACGTATGGGATCATTTGGCAAGTTGTACGTAGGATTCTATTTCAAAATTTCTGAATAAAACATGACATAGTTCACTGTACGCTATGTTTTTTTGTATTTATATCTTTATAATCTACAATATGAATGGGCAAAAATCCTTTCAGTATCTTTTCTGATCTATTTCACTTTTAATGTTACAACCCTCCATTCCCCCTTGCTAACATCACCTGCAACATATATTTATAATTCATTTCTTCTGCCAAATAGTAATTAATACGATTCTTAATAATTCCATGAATAGATTGCAAGAGTACATTAAAAAAGTCTATCATTATTATACTTATTAATTATTTACATTCAGTTGCATTCAGCACTTTATCCTAACTGGTTCACAATCAAAAACCTACTTCAAAACACTACTCACAATTTAATCCTATTTTCGTATTTCTTTAATCAATAATATATCAACTTTGACATATTTTTGCTAAATTATATTAAAAACATAAAGAGTTTTATGTATAAAAATTATGAAGAATCGAATCAAACGAAATGTCGCGTCTAATTTAAGACAGGACCGCAAAGGGTTAACTGAGTAATTGTTATTGGCCATTAACGATGTCAATTAAGTATAGCTACAGTACTACTTACTTCAAATAGACGAGCGAAACGTCGTACACGTGTTTCCGATTTTTTCTTCATCTATATACACTGAAAATCACTTTGATACTTCAGCTAGATGAATTTTTCTTTAGAAATACTTACAAAATTCGTTCCTGTATAGGAAAATCGTGCTAGATAAATAACATTTTATAAAAATGTAAAAGTAGTACGTAGAAGTTACATACATCGATACTTTTTTAAACTTCAATGGCTATTTATAATTATTCATAGTTTCAACTTATTACAACCATAGCTACAGATGTGTTCAGAGATCTCTCTTTTGTCATTTGAGACCAATTAAAACTTTCTAACGTTACTAGTTTTCACATAATACTTTTTGTTAAAAATCGGGTTTTCACAAAAATTCAAATTTAAAAAAAATTTTAGCTAATACTGCAATTCTGCTTGTAGATTTGTGTTCAGGAATAATAAATGATAAAATAATTTGATATAACTTAGATTTCCTAAAGGTACAAAAGACATTTTATTTGTGAATAATATTTTTTAATATATTGTCCACCAAATTCAACCTATATGTTAATTAATTATTTAAAACTTTAAATGGGAATATTACAATTTGTTATATGTTATGTTAATATATTAACAGCAAAATTCATGTGATACATCTATTTAATTATATGAGTAAAGATAGACCTATTATAATATGACTAGATTTATATTAGATTTGTATTAATTCCAGGAGAATTTCTTCCAACTCTGTATGATACAAACACTGCGTAATATATACCCTGTTAGCCAAATTTATTGTTGCCATACTTCCGAAATGCTAGATAAAAATTTTATTGCCAGAATATTGACAAATTTGATATAGAAAAAGTATATTAAGGCTTGCTGTAATGCAGCATTGATGCAACAGATTTTGACACCAATTTGAGATAAATATGGAATGAAAGTATTCAATACAAGATTTGTTACCAAAATTGATGTGCAAAAGAGATACAGAAGGATATAATCTGATAGTTAAGTTCTATAAAGATTTGATATCAAATTGGTTTTATGTTATAATTACGTTATTTATTAAATTATTATAATTTTCTTAATTATAAAAAAGATTACAATACCAGAATAAGTTGAAGCCTAAATTACCATGTTATTTCATTTCAATTATGCACAGTTTGTTTAACTTGTTATTTTAATAAATTGCTTTTGAACATTATCAAAAACAAAGCAGTATTTTTAAATATTGTAAAAAGATATGATGTATACTTTTAATTTCAATATAATTGAATTTTTTTATAATTAGTTTATAATATATTAGTCTCTTTTTTATAATTTGTTTTACATTTACATATGTATCTAATAATTAGTTAATAAGAAATATGTTTAAAAAAATAAATAAATGTATAATGAAACTAGAAATTTGTATATTTTTCATTATATATTAATAACAACATAGATATTTGAAATGATATTCATTTAATAAAAATATATCCTATTACAAATTCATTCAACATGTTCTACTTCTTATTTCAAATATTATTAGTACATATTATAGATGGTGTATATTTTTTATGGAATAGAAATCAAATAAGGTTATTTAATTAATGTTTCACTAATTTTAGTAATTTTTTCTTACTAAATTTCATTAGTAAAGGCATATAAAAAAAAATGTAAAATACTATTTTACGAAATTAAAAGTAAAACATTTATTTAATAGTTATAATTATTTTTAACATATAGTATAGCAAAATTTTGTAGAATCTAACATATCATTTGGTACATAAAAAAATTTATAGTCATTGAACAGTAAGCATGAAATTAATATTAGTCTTCAAAATGCTTCTATTATTTAAATTTATTTAATTTTATTTTATAAAATATTTTCTAACTTCTACTATTTTAAAATTATAAACATAACAAGGTACAAAGTATCCTAATTATAAATTTTAATTACATTTTATTTACAAATTACATTAATTATAACTAAAAATGAGAGATCAATTCTTTATAGTAAATAATTTGCTGTAATAATATTTGAGTAATTTTATATTTTACTATAATTTTATATTATTTCTAAATGTAAAATTAAATTCGTTTCACAAATACATTTTTCACTGTTTTAAACCTAGCTATATAGATATATATACTTCTATCACACACACACACACACACGCGCGCGCGCGCACGACGCATGCACCCATCCATTCATCCATCCATCCATCCATCCATCCATCCATCCATCCACCCATCCACACATACATACATACATACATGCATGCATGCATGCATGCATGCATACATACATACATACATACATACATACATACATATATATATAGTATCAAAAACTTGAATTTAACAATCATATTGAAAAATTTTTAAATATAAATACGTACTTGAGAATGTGACTTTAAGATTCAGTGCTTCGTGTAAATAATTTAAAACATATTACAATTTTATTATTAAACGATTTATGTGTTAAAATATATTATTATTTCATGAAACTTTCGAACCAAATATTTTAATCCTTCTTTCAAAATTTGTGTGATATTTCTAAATTAATTTAGTTTACGAAGAATTTAAATGGAGTTGAAACTGAATTAGCTTTTGTGAGCAATTTCAAGCAACTGTTTGAGTTTACTGAAAACTTCATATATGGGCAACGGAAATTTAGAGTTTAATCTTTATTATTGTATAATATCGTCATGTTATTAATCAGGTATTACGGAAATTGTTCATAATAATATGATAATATTATTTTTGGAATGATTTAATTTTATTCATTAGTTTACTTGCAATTGTCTACAGTAAATTTATTGCATAACCTTTAATCTTTAATGATCATTTTAAATATTATTTCAGTGTATGAAATAAGTGAATATAACCTTTTTACAGGATATATATGTATTACTTATTACAATTTATTTGAATATGTATTATATTCAATTGCATATACTGCCACATTTGCAGACTTAATATTATTCATCAATTGTTCATTAAATTATGGCTGTACGTCGAGGAAAGAGAAACTTGAAATTGCAGGTCTCTGAAGAGACACCTGTAACTGTGTATGTAATATTATTAATTTATTATTATATTAATGATAATGTCTAAATTTATGGTAATTAATGATGTTTAAATTATTTGATATACATATAAGAAATATTATGTACTTAGTTGAATAATATATCATAATTTGTTGAATTACTGCTTCATTTTTTTAATAAATTAATACTGTTATAAAGTTGATAACTATTTTGATTAATTATATAGTACACCACCAAGGAATTTGGATAAGCGAACTACAATAACTATAGATGATGAAACATTTGTGGTAGAAGCAGATGATTTAGAAACAATCTGTATCCTTGGACGTGGGGCATATGGTATTGTCGATAAAGTTCGACATAAACAAAGTGGTACTATTATGGCAGTTAAGGTATAATGTGCATTCATGGAGGTATGTTAATATAGTTTTTACATATCTTTAATTTAATTATTTTATATATTTTCTAGAGAATAACTGCAACAGTTAACACACAAGAACAAAAACGTTTACTTATGGATTTAGATATTTCTATGCGTAGTTCAGCATGTCAATATACAGTACAATTTTATGGAGCATTGTTTAGGGAAGGAGATGTTTGGATATGTATGGAAGTTATGGATATGAGCCTGGATAAGTTTTATACAAAAGTATATAAACATGGACATGCCATTCCTGAAGATATTTTAGGAAAAATTGCTTTTGCAGTAAGGCAAAACCAATTTACCATAAGAAAAAGCTTATTATTTATTATAATATCAAATTCTATAATTCGAACTTTATAAATATTTGCAGGTAGTAAGTGCATTACATTATCTGTATTCACAGCTGCGAGTGATTCATAGAGATGTAAAACCTAGTAATATTTTAATTAATCGAAAAGGAGAGGTCAAGATCTGTGACTTTGGTATTTCTGGTTACCTTGTGGATTCTGTCGCTAAAACTATTGATGCTGGTTGTAAACCATATATGGCTGTACGTAAATTTTTTAACATACATTATAATATCTTTGATCTTATCTATTCAATAAATTCTCCATCATAACCTTTTTTTCAGCCAGAAAGGATAGACCCATCGGGTAACCCTTCACAATATGACATCAGATCTGATGTTTGGTCATTAGGTATATCTCTTGTTGAATTAGCAACAGGGAAATTTCCTTATGAATCTTGGGGTTCGCCTTTCGAGCATTTAAAACAAGTTGTAAAGGATGAAGCACCAAAGTTACCAGCTGGTAAATTTTCGGCCAGTTTTGAAGAATTTATCAATAAATGGTAAATTTAATTATTTTCAATATTATTTAACACTTATTGCATATAGTTCGATTAATAATTGTTTTTTTTTTTTTTTTTTAGTTTAATGAAGGATTATACTGCCCGTCCAAATTATAATCAGTTATTGAAACTTGATTTTATTACAGAACATGCCAAAAAGGACATAAATGTTGCTAAATTTGTTGGAGAAATTTTAGATTTACCTGAAATGGAGTAACTAGCACGGTATATTTATGTTTTTGACATGGTATGTTACATGTCTCTTAATATAACTTCGTTTTATGTATCGAAGTTACTTGATCATTTCTCTATATTTATCCTTATCAGTTGTATTATTTACTTATACATATGTCATAAGCACATTGAAGTACAGTGTAAAAACAAAATATGTGTAACTTCTGTCTAAAAAATTATTTCTTCAAAAGTTCACTTTTTTGTTTGTTCAACATTTAATCTATATATAATTTTCATTAATAATATTTCTGGGTTAGTAAATATTTTTCAAGCAAAGAGCAAAACCATGTAAATAATATACAAATATTTTCTCACGGTATAATAGCTGTTTGTCATTGTAGTAATATAGTAAATAAAATCCGAATTATAAAGACTTGATTAAATTAAATATTTCTATATAATGTAACAATTACATTATATGCAATTATTGTAACAATATTAAAATCATATTTTAGAGTAATTGTATTAATATAAATAACACAAACATTAACTAAAAAGATGAATACTTATAAAGTGATAGGAAAGTTACATACTTTATACAAGGATCTAATTAGAAAAAAATGTAATTAATTACATTTGTTAACTTATGTAAACTATAATTATGTAAGAGATATTATTTGATAAATGTAATTGTTAAACATATTGTACAACATAAAATATAGGTTAACATACAAAAAGATATAAACTTTGTTGTATATATTCAATAATTAAATAATTATTTTCTTGCTATAATAGTAGATTAAAATAGTAAAAAATTAATTTTATATTGTTTTATTGAATGTGTTGTAATAAATATTGATTAATTTCAACTTTGTTGAAGAATTTTCAATGAAGGACACTAAATTTAGAAAATATGTTTTTAAACTAATAAAAATGTTCCTAAAATATTATTAATTTATACAGAATTAACATATAAATATAGAGATATTTTATAAGTATAAGTGTATGTATAGGCACAATAATGTATAATGATATACACATAATATCTGTTTGGTTCAGGACTTTAATCTTCTTTGCCATTTAATATCCAAAATTCTTTAAAGTTATTTTAAAAATATAGTAATATAAATGCAATACAGTTAACATACCAATATAATAATAGTTATTTGAAGAAAATAAATGCATTTATTAATATATTTTACATAGAATTCCATAATAAAAAAGGAATAGATGACTTACATATTATAAATACTAGTGACATGATATATTGTTGTATTTATGACTTTATATCAGATGACAATCAAGAAATGAATTTAAATGTTCTGCTTCGTTTAATATCTTTTATACGGGAATAATGAAATCTATATGCACATGTAAAATATAACATATTTAAGTAGATTACTAGTTTTTATATCTTTAACTTTCACATTTCGATTTTTAAGAAATTGGCGGCATTAAATCCACTCCTTTACATTCAATAGCAATCTTTACACCTAATGCAAATAATCCAATACTTTTAACCACTGACCTGTAAATAAAAAAAGAAATGTGCGAATATTTAAAACGAATTTACTTTTTATATATATTAATTATAAATATATATATCGTAAATTTTAATTAGTAATATATTACATTGTATTACACGAGGTTGGATGTTCATAAAATTTAATTTAAAGGTTATATGAAAGATAAAAGAAAATTATTATTACACACCATTTGAAAGGATCATAATAAATATGTTTTATACATTTTACAACACCTGCCATTGTAATTCCCATTTTTAAAAAGAAATATCGTCACTTGTTTTAATTGTTTCCTTTAAAGAATTAACTTGAAACTGCACCATTAAGAGAGGCATAAGCTTGAAATAATTTCTAATGTACTACATAATACATATGGCGCTATTGTCGAAAAATTGTTGCCTTACTATTTTTCAACTTATTAGTAAATAAAGTATGAAATTGCATACTTTAATTTCGAAATATATTTTAATATATTTATTAATGTATTGTTTATAGTTACATAATACACAATTTGTTTATAATTATAAGATGTACGGATATATAAGTATTGAAAATGTAAAATATTAATTTGAAAATAATTATCCTTTTATATATACTGAAAACGAAATTGCAAGTAAAGATTTTTCAAAATTATGAGGTTTTTATTTTTTTTTTTTTTTATGAAAAAATGTTTTTTGAAGATTGTCTAAAAAAATAAAACATTTTTCATTGAGAAGATACCATAAATGTGTCAGTTATTTTATATTATAAAACCATATTCATTTCTATTGCCATTGTATATGGTATGGTATTAAACCTTATATTTAATACTTTGATACTAAATTTTCGTCGATACCGAAAAAACTAAAATAGCGATTAAAATCATTCAACTACCGGCTCTAGTACGAACAAATCAGGAGTCCTATATTTAATAGCGGGGTCTTGTATTTGAGATTATAATTAATGTTTATTTTAATAAAAAAATCTATACACTGTGTTTTTTATTAATTATGCATAAACAATACATAAATATTGTAACCATGGTAAGTGGAAGTAATATAGAAATATACTAACATTTATAAATGTTATATACATTTTGTGGATTCAGAATAATTTGTTGTGGTGTATTAAATTTGGAATATTTATAACAGATTGAGTTAGGTACATCGAAGTTCAATTCTCGAAATCTTCGATTTAGTATAACAATTAGGTATACTCTAACTGTTAATATATTAACATAGTTTAATAAGCAGATCTTATATCAAACTTAGAGACATTTTGGTGACAAAAATTGTATCTAGCATTTCAAAATTCTAGCAATAATATGTTTAGTAAATTTGCAGTAGATTATATAGTGATAAAATTTTTAACACAACTTTTACAACGTATATAGAAGGTTGGCAGTATAGGTGCTTACATAAATATGTAGTTAATATAGAGTGAAGTGTAGTGCGGTAGAGAATGAGTGAGATTCAAATCACTTAGATGTGAGAAAGTTAAAGAAGGTAAACAAATTTTGTTTATTATCCATTTTATTCGATGTAATTTTTAAGTATAAACAATGTTTTCATTGTTATCCCAATTTTTTTATTATATAAATATCCTCTTTTCTCCATTTCCTTTATTTATGTGTAACTAATATTATTAAATTGTTGAACATAATTTACATTTTTAAATAATCATACGTAATATACATTTATATGTTTCTAGTTTTTTCTCCTTGATGCAATTGAATTGGAAGGAAAGGTGACAAATTATTTTGGGTTATAATGAAAGAAGCTTTCTTACTATAAGAACTTGAAATATATAAAAAGATCTGTGATATACTAGTATATTTGATAGCCATAATCATTTTATGAAGTATTGTGATGCTTTTTGGGAAAAACAAAATTTATTTGATAATATGTTAGAAGACGGATTTATTACTGTTCTATGTATATTGTTTATTATATTTTTCATACTTATACAAAATTTGATTCGGTATCTTATAAGAGAGCCTTATATTCATATTAGAGATGTTACCAAAGAACATAATTGGAAATCTATTAATACAGAAAACAAGGTATATATAAAAATATATCCTTATTTATACATTTTGTCATATTTTATTAATATCTTATACCTATTTACTTTTTTTTAATATTATTTTCTTTTTTAAATTAGCTACATGTATTTTGTACCTAGTATATTTTAAGTATATTTTAGATGTTATTTAATAGATTGGTAGAAATGTATTTTATAATTATATGTTCATTATAATCAGTTAGTTGTTGTCCATTACAAATGTTTATTTTTAATTCATTTACTTTTTTCAAATGTACCATATGTTTTAATTTCAATATGTTATAAATATACTTTAATTAATTTAAATTGTAATTCATTTAATATTAAAATTTGTTGAATATATGTTATATTTTTATAATACATATTTTAATTATAATATTGTTACAATATTGCATTTGTCTTAAGTATCTAATGGAAATAACATAATACTTATTAAATATTGAAGAAACTTGTAAAAACAGTATAGTTTATACTTAAATAATATCTAAAATATAAAATATATAACAATATATAATATATAAAATATACAAAAAAACATAATATCATTTCTATATCTAGAATATTAAATAGCAGTAAAAAATATCACTGTTGATGATAGCAGTAATATATTTTAGGATAAAAGTTATTTTTACCAAGTTATTTGATTTTTATGCCTAAAATATAATTTTTCTTGTTAAATATTGATATAGTAAGAATATATTACTATGTTATTTATTATAAAAATATTATTACAAACATGACAGTCATTTGTAAAATATGAAACTTATGGACAACTTTTGGTATTAACTTTCTGATTATAAATTAATTGAATTAAAATATTGAATATAATTATGATTATAAAAAGTTAATGTTTATTTTAAATAGCATTAATTTAGAATGTTAAACAAAAATCTACTGAGATTATAATGTGTGTATATAAATATATAAAAACTAATATTATTGCTTTTTCCATAGGCATATTACTGTAGCATTTGTGAAAGCTTATTGCTAAATATTAGTGGCTTGATCTGTGATTCATGTGGTGTTTGTGCAGATCCTATGTGTGTCAAAGTTGCAGATAAACAATTAATGTGCAAAATTATTACTGTAAGTACAAATGAGCCAATGAAACATCATTGGATAAAAGGTATGTTTCATATTTTTCTTTGTGCATATTATATAAAATATTTTAGGATTACATTATTTATTTTAATTTTTAAATATCATATATTTAAATTGAAGTCATTTTCATTCATTTTATGTAAGGTAATTTACCTCCAAATATTGTATGTGACATATGTAACGAGGAATGTGATGCGGAGCCTGGATTAACAGATTGGTGGTGCTGTTGGTGTCAGAGATGTGTCCATGATGATTGTAAATCTGAACTTTCTAAAGTATGTCTTTTATATCTTTTATAATTGTGTATGGTGTATGAGAAGTATTTATTACATTTTTTCAGATATGTGACTTTGGTAAATTTAAATTAATGATAATACCACCAAGTAGTTTAGAAGTAATAAATGTACGAAATACTGTAAGACGTAGATTATGTCTGCATTCAATTATATCTCCAAATTGGTCTGAATGGAACCCTCTTATAGTTGTTGGTAAGTTAAAACAATAAAATTCTGATTACGTTAGAATAATGTAACTATATACTATGTATGCTATTTAATTTTTTTTATTTGCTATTAATTTAATATTTAACTACTTCACTATTACTATTACTATCGATCAATAATTTATCATTAAACTTAAGAATTTATTTTCAGCAAATAAAAAATCTGGTAATAATGATGGAGCAGAAATCCTGTCTCTATTTAGGAGATTATTAAATCCTGCACAAGTTGTTGATTTGTCAGAACGTGACCCAGTTGCTGCACTAGAATGGTGTCGTTTACTTGGAAAAGTAACATGTACAGTTCTTGTAGCAGGTGGAGATGGAACAATAGCTTGGTTGTTAAATGCTATTCATAAACTTGGATTAGAGGTAATATACTACCTTTGATAGTAATTTTTCAACTAAATACATTAATACAAAGTTATATGAAAATATTAAAATCACTTTGATATCGAGTGAATGCAAAAAATAATTGGAAAAAATAATCAAAATTTTTATTTACTCTCAAGTAGAAAGTAGTATTCTTGTTGTTGTTGTTGTGATCATCATCATCATCATCATCATCATCATCATCATTATCATCATCATCATCATCATTATTATTATTATTATTATTATTTATTGTAGTCCATGATACCTAAACTTCGCCCTTCTTATCACAATGTCTACAATATTACATTGTGTATTAGTATATTATCCCCTCCTTCTAGCAATTATTTTTCTCTCTTCTCTGCAAGTTTCGAATTTTTTCCTCATTCTTGCTCTTTTTTCGGCCCAGCCATTCCTTGTACTTTGTCTTTCTTCTCTTTCCATTTCTCTTATACATTCTCTTATCAGCTTCTTTTTGGAGAGCTTTACTTCTTTTTCATATTTGAACGTTCTTCTTAGTGCTTTTATTCTTATTTTTTCTTCTTTTGTTTCTTCTCACAGTATATAATTAGACAGTCTGGTCTAGTTCTAGGAGCCATTTTATGTATTTCTTTTTAACTGTGTCTAGTCTCTTCTCCCCCAATCCCATATTTCTGCCATATATAAGATCACACTTGTAGAAAGTAAACAAACAAAAATATTACTTGAGAAAAGTTATTTGCTAAAAAAGATTTTGGAAAAAAATTCAGTCATAGCACTGTTAAGATATTAATAAATTTCCAGCTAATTATTAAGTAAGCTGAAAATATATAATACAGTATTACAATCAGTATTTTTTTAAAAATTAAAGTTAAAAGACATTCATAATAACATGAGAATTGCAAGGATTGAACTGTCGAAGGCTGGAGAAAGTATTATTTTTCATGGTAAATCATGTATTCTATATCAGATAGCTGATGAATTTGTTTGGAGGAAAGTCAAGGAAAATTTTATAATGGTTATTTGAAGCTTGCAAAGAAATATTTTCGCATTATTATTGTAATTAATGTTAAATTATTAATGTTATTATACAAGGTGACTCATTTAAAGCGATTCAGTCAAATATTGTACAAATCATTGGTGGTAAAAAATATTTGAAACAAAAATTGAATGGTTTCAAGAGGCACATAATCTGATGTTAGTAAGATTTTTCTAGGCTAACTCATAAAGAAGATACAAACATCAATCTCATTTTTTAAAGTAGAATTACATATTTTTTATTGCAGCAACTAATGCAGCTCGTTGTTTTCTTTCAAAAGGTATTAAGCCATTTATCGAAAAAAATCATTGGTTTTGAAGAAATTCCAATTTTAGTATTGGATAATAACAATAGTCTTTTGTTCATGTAATATGAATTATCTGCTGAAAGTTGATATTCAAAAATATGTCCTTCAGCTTGGATGAAGTAATTCGCTTTATCTCTGAAGTATCTATTAATGGTTTCTAGCATTTCTGTAGAAAATTTGTAGTTAATTCAAATAAAACAAAATTATTTTCTTTATATAGTCACTGCATTCTCGCAGTATTAAAATTATATCTACAATTTCATTCAATGTTTAATCTGACATTTTAATAATCTTAGAAGTGAATTTCCCCACATTTATGACAATATTGCTTTATGAGATTAGACGGAAAGTAAAGAAGAAATGTCCTATAAACTACAAGCTAACATTTTTTTTGCAAACTTCCATCAAGACACGATATATCATATGTGACGCATATTAATTACTTCTTAATATTGAAATTAAAATATCTTTTAAATCAATGATTTTTCCTGATAAATGGCTTAGTACTTTTTTGTACAAAATAACGAGCTGTATCAATTGGTGTAACGAAAAAAATGGTTTATTCTATTTTAAAAAATAAGGTTGATCTTTGTATTTTTTTATCGATCGGCCTAGAGAAATCTTATCAATATCAGGTTGTGTATCCTGAAACCATTCAATTCTTGTTTCAAACATTTTTTATCTTCAACGCTTTCTGACATTCGACTGGATTGATTTATATGGGTCACCCTATATAACTGTATAAAGGTGGTTATATGCGCACGTTGAAATGTTACGAGGTATTAAATAACATAATTATTAAGTAAATTATTGTTTGTTCCTTTGTAATTTTATAATGACGAATATTTTTTTGCAAAATTTTCTTCAAATACTTTTTCCAAATTAGCAATTTCTTCACTGTTTTCTATTGGATAATAAATGAAAATTTTGATTATCTTTTTGTATTTACTTCACATCAAATTGGTTTGAGTGTGCATTTTATTATATTTTAGATTGCTAAAATTACTAAACTACTATTAAAGTTTTTATAATGCCATTTATTGTAATCATATTTCATGCAATTAACAATTAATAATTAATAATTATTTAAATAAATAAATAATTAAATTTCATCAAATAATAAAGAAATAATATAATTTATTAATGTTTCAAACATATAATATTATATAGCAGCAAATATTTGAGTTACATTTCTTCATTTATAACAGCCAGTTCCATCTGTAGCAATAATTCCTTTGGGAACAGGAAATGATTTATCAAGAGTACTAGGATGGGGAAAAGAGCATGATCCAAATAAAGATCCTACAGAGATATTGCAAGAAATACAAGTAGCACAAAAAGTGAAACTTGATAGGTATTAATTTATTAAATTATTAAATAAATAAAATTATTAATTTATCATGTAATGAATCATTTGTTATGGAAGTATGTATTATAATTTGTTAAATTATTTATAATATTTATAATTATTTCAATATTTTATTAGGTGGACTGTAATGATAAAACCATATGGTGGACTAGGACTTAGAAATTTAAATCAAACATTTTATATGTATAATTACTTAAGTGTGGGAGTGGATGCACAAGTCACATTAAATTTTCATCGTACAAGAGAAAGTCGTTTTTATTTTTATAGCAGTAGATTGTTTAATAAGGTATTGTATTTTGTTTCATCTTCATCTAGAAATTATATAAAGTAATGTATATTTTTATCTTATTGGCAGCTATTGTATTTGTGCTTTGGTATGCAACAAGTAGTAGAACGAGAATGCAAAGATCTTAATAAAAATATAGAATTGTATCTGGATGACAAAAGAATAGATTTGCCATCCATTGAAAGTATTGTAATATTAAACATTCCATCATGGGCTGCTGGTGTTAACTTATGGAATATGGGATTAGAAGGTATTTATATTTTGTTTCATGTATATAACAATTGAAAAAAAAATGTTTTTATCCATTAATAGGGCACGAAAAATATGGGAAACAAAGTATTAATGATGGTAAATTAGAAGTAGTTGCACTTTATTCTTCATTTCATATGGCTCAGCTTCAAGTAGGTCTGTCTCAGCCTTATCGACTTGGACAAGCTAGTAATATAAAGGTATATTGTTCATTCACATATTAAGCTTTCAAAAAGAAACTTAAGGGAGTCTTCTACTAACACAAGTAAAAAAAAGTCGACTTTTTTTTTGCATTTTCTTAAAGTTTATTATATGTTTGGAAACGTGTATACAAAACTATAGTGAAATTCGTAAAATTAGGGAAATTATAGATATCCAAGTACGAACACATCAAGTGAGAAAACTGCAGAGCACAGAAGGTTTCAACAATATTATTATTTTGTATACGTATAGATATTGTGTTTAAGATTCTTTTTCCCGTTATTGCAACTTCGTTAATAATTTGTCAACAATTGTGTGTTGTATGGTCCTGAAGTAGCATATTGACACACACACATACACACCTGCGCGCGCATTGTTTTGTTGCAAAAATTAGTATTTACGTTATGTTAAACTACAGATGTTAAGATCTGTTGTCATATTTAAACATTTTTTTCTCTTCTGTAGTACAGGCCATAACTAATCCTTGCTAATCAAAATGCTTTTTTATTCGTTAATCTTCAAAGAGTAGAACAGCCGCAATCATATGAATCATTTGAACCTGTTCATTTTTAAACCTGCTTGTACATATCATTATACAATTCCTGTAATTTTCATTATTTTGTATTGAAAAAGATTATGAGTATTCCCCGAATATAAATAAATAAGGGATTGTCCTTTGTTAACTCAAATTAGTAGAAGACCTCCTTAAGAAAGAACAATAATTAAGGATCAGGTATAAATAAAATATATAAAATATATATTATTTATTTACTACTATTTATTTTCTTTATAAAATGCAGGTGAAGGTAATAAAATCTTGTGCTGTGCAAATTGATGGTGAACCATGGTACCAACATCCTTGTGAATTCAGTATTAAATATTGTAATAAAGCAACCATGCTTGTGAATACAGATAGAAAAAGTATGTAATTCTTTATTTCTGAGATATAAGGTTTTATTTATATATACATTCCAAAATTTGGTTTTAAATGGAACAAAAATTTAGTACATTTCATGAATAAAGAAATATAGACTAATATGATAAAGATAAATTATAAGATACAAATTACTTTTTGTGTGTGTAAATTATATTTTTATATTTTATTAGTTATATATTTTAAATATTATTGTTAATTCATGTTATTCAATTTTGAAATAAAAAGTGTATATTAATATTGTTTTTATCTCTTTTTCCTTATATCTGTATATAATTATATTCCTTATATTCTTTATAGCTATTATATCTATTAATAACTATAACACACACTAAAAAACTTTTAATGATCTACAATAAAAGAAAATTGCTATATAAAATTTTGATGAAATTATATAATTTTTATTTGTAATTCATATACTTAACTAAATATATTTGAATTATATGTTTCATTGAAAGATGTTGATTATGTATTTTTAAAAAAAGGAAGCTATGTTATATATAGTAATGTGTAAAAATATCGCGTACTTTTATTATTTTTATATTTATTTTTGAAATGTAGAGAAATGTTCCTATTTTAAGTTTCATACTGTTACATATAAAATATAAAGAGGAAATATTTCTTATTATGTATCAGCATTAAAGAGAGACATAAGTTTTGTATTAATTGCTACTTATATAATAATAATTTAAAATACAAATTTCATGATTGAAGTTCATGATTATTATTTATTTCAAAATTTTTGTAAAAATGTAATATTTTGTTGCACATAAAATAAACCAAAGTCCCATTTAATTATTCATGTTATTAACAAAAAAGGAGTAAACCAAATTTAGGAGATATGCACTATTGATAAATTTAAAGTTGTTCTTAGGAAACACTCAATGTTTATTTTCGCGTTTATAATAGAAACTTTAGCAATACTAAAATATATTGTATATCGTTTAATAGGAATAAAAGTGAGTGATGTATCATTGATTGGTAAATCTACTTTACGAAAGAAAATTACGAAAGAAAAGCTATACAACATGATTTAAACAATACAATTTAACATTTATTTTATCGTAAAAAATATATATGTCAAATATTTGTTCTCAGTCCATTTGAGTACATATATATTTGTTTTTTAGCAATTTTTCCTATGACATTATAAAAAAATACTGCTAATCATTAATACTAAAATATGTTTCACATCACTCTATATACTAATTACTAAATTAAGTACACCCAATTCTGTTTTTACACGATTTTGATTTAACACGAATTAGGAAAAAAATTTAATTCTCTTTTTACACGACTTATTTTGATTTAACACGATCGACCCAAATTTTTGGCCTAGCTAGAACGCAAACACGGCGATTATTTACTGAATTCGTTCTTAAATCCACTGAAACATCGGTACCATAGGAGGCTAGCCCTAATTTTGTTCAAGAGATTACAGAAAGAATTTCATCAATGGAGCACGAAGACGATAACCAAGGCATTTCTAGTGATAGCAGTAATATTGCAGTCTTAGGCAAACGTATGCGTTTATTGTTAGAAAGTGACAACGAATAAAATCTTTTTACGTGTAACTCATATTATCTTGCCTAATTTTTGTATTCATGAATTAATGACATGTTTTCTTCCTTTTCAAATGATAATTTATTTTGTATGATACATGTGCAATCTTTATGAAATAAAATGTTTAAGATCCTAACATGAAAACTCATGGTTTATTGTATTATTTTTGCTGATTTCTTGGGACTGGAACCAATCTTCTATTTCTCCATAGAAGCAATATATTTTTTTACACAAATTTTTTTTACACGAGTTCTTCGGGAACGTATCTATCGTGTAAAAACAGAATTAGGTGTACTAGTTACTAATTACCGAAATAAATTCATAAGCATATTGGATTTAATATTTTCCTATAAATATTTTTTTAATACATTTATATCTTTCACGTCATCGAATTTATTTTTAATTAATAATTCTTGTTATATGTCAGAAGCGTTAACTGTTATATTTAATTAAATAAGATATTAACATTTCAATATGTAGATATGAATAATATTCTTTATACGACTAAATATACATAAATCTAAGTATATATGAATATAAATATAAAAAAAAATTCACGTTTACAATGAATTAAGAGAAATAGTTGATTTTTAGTGTAAAAAATGTTGATTTTCTTCCGATTTTGTCATAGTAGACGATCCTTATATATCCGTACGAGAAAGGAGAATTTTTGTCAGTTTTTGAAAAATTAAAAAAATTCCTAAAATTTCGTTAGGTTAAAATACCAAAAGGGTATTAAATTAGGAGAAATTTGATAAATGAATTTTACAAGAGTGTAAATTTTGTCGAATGCGTTTACAAGGACAAGATATTTTACAAGGTTTATAAGGTTAATGGATGTTACAAAATACAGCAGCAGCATTTTCTGAAATAAAAATATTATTTTTTTTCTGTAACAATACCATTCGATAATCTGTATTGACGCTGTCAAGGGAATTTTTAGTATTAATACAAAATATTTAGTATTAATAAATTTTTCGAGGATAGAAAATATAGCGTGGAAGAATTTAGAAGGTGAATTAGTGTAATATAAAGATAATCCTAAAAATATCAGGTTTGGTGAAATGAAAGTTGCTAAAATAAACGAGACTGGAATTTCGTACGTTCGATTTATAAAGGTTATCCTACACAGACATTGTACAAAGTTGTTACATATTTGAAATTAGTCGAATATTTAGTAATATTTAGACATTCTTAAAAATTGGTACATTATTTTGAGAAATTTTCTGATTATGACAGAACGACAAATTAATTTTCTCCTTATATTAATGACACTTTGGTTAATGCACGAAACAGCTAGAATTGTAAATAATATGAAATAAAATTCTTACATTCGGATGGGATAATTACAGGAGTAGAAAAAAGGTTAAAAGAAAGATAAATGCGATTTGTTAAGATATAGATATGTATGTCACTACACCTAAACATAAAATGACGATGGATAGAGTTTCCAAGAATATTTTGCTACAATACGATGTAATAAAAAATTATGGTATGATTTTTTTCTAATTAGATTTAAAAAGATTCCTTTTTGAAGTTGAAGCCAAATTGATCGGATTTATAACGCAAAATTTTTGCTAGTTGAGGTGGGCCACAATAAAAGATGGTGACTTTGCCTTTCTTCTGATCCTGAAGCTGTTTGAATACCTTATCCCAGTTTGGTCGACCTGCGTTTGTCCGTGTCTTTAAACCTGTTATAAGATCCCGTTTTTCCTGAAAAATCAAATCATTTATTCACATGGACTTATTTAATTGCACATTAGGACAAGATTATCATGCTTAATTCATTTTGACCTCTTCTTTAAGAATTATCCTTATGTATGCTTATACATACATAGATATATATGACGAGTGACAAATTGTCTGCTTTGTTATTATTATTATTATTATCAGAATTGTGGAATAACCTGATACTCGAACGGGAGATGACATTAAATGATGTCATTTAACATTTTATTTAAAGAAGTTATATAGGAAGTATCTGTGATGAAAGTGAAGATAATCTCTTTAAGGGAACAAAATAAGTCGTAATGTATTCTTTGATCGATGTAAAAATGAATATTTAAATGGATAAATGTTGTTTGAAAAATTGGTCGAAGCATTATTATTAAATTAGAGTTTTTGCAATTTACCTGTGAGGTGTTATGGAATTAGTTTATGCAAGCGTACTCAAGTATTAGAAGCAATTTCTGAATATCATTGTAATTGTAAAAATCTAAATGTAAAAATGGTATTTTATATGAATACCATTTAAAGGAATTTTGGTGATTACGATGGAATTTATTAGAGATTATAAATATATGAAATCGTGTTACATTTCGCATAGGTAGTAAGGCCATTTTCAATGAACAGCTCAGTCTTTCTGTCCGAAATTCAGTGACTTATTTGCTAACTTATTGGTTAATTAGTAGAATAATATTACTGGAATATTTAATATTATTAGAAAAGTAGTTTAGCTGATAAAAGTTGATTAAAATTGGATAAAGATTGTTTTAGGCGTAATATTCATTACGAGAGAGAATGGAGGGGTGGGGGGTGGGGGTGGAGTGGGGAAGGTGAGGGTATTTTGCTAGATAAAGCGGTTGCTTTATGTTTGTTTATTTTCGTGAAAGAAATAAAGCTCATCATATTTTGTACCATATATGATGTGTATTTACGACGGAGAAGGTATACTGGGATAATAGTTTCATTAAATAATAAGAATAAAAGAAGGTAAAAATGTAAATAGTTTTGTAGAATTCTCTTGTAAAATCTTTTCCCGTTCTACGTTGATGCAGATTATTGTTATTTAATTAAGTTATTTTTCGAATTTGAAGCGATTACTTTATTACGTTTATTATAAGATACTTAGAACGGTACTTAATTTCAATTTGATAATTTAATCTTTTTCTTCATTTCATTCAGGATCTCAACGATTTTTATTCATTTCAGAGAGATCGAATATTGTCTTTTTTAAATTATTATTATTGATTTAATTCCTATTAAACAGTACTTCAGAGTATTAATTTCAGAAAGGGGAATTTTCTCTACAGGAAAGATGAAGAGTCGTTTATTTCGAACCATTTGATGCACCAAATCCATGGCTAACTGCAAGGTGACAGCTTTCATGTCATTTTTCTGCAAAGCACTGGTAATGTACATGTGCATCTCGAGAAAACGTTCCATAGCGATGCCTAATTCAGCTTGTTCCATTTCCAATTGAGACAATAGGTTTATAAACCACTCGAAAGAACGTTGATCTCTGTTGATCCAATAAAAATCTACCTGTAAATAGAATTCAATTATCGAATTACTTTTGCTATTTTGCTATTGAAAATCGGTATTTTTACCATGACGGTAAAATATGTATGTATAAGTAGATGAAAGAAACATTCTTTGGTCCGCAGACTTTTGCTGTATTTTTATCGTGTACATGTCTTTCGACATTTAAACAAATGTTTCGTGATATTAGTAATATGATAATATATATATTACCATATACATACATATTTATCATTTTCGTCTACGTTAAAAGTCAATATATATATATATGTTAGTATGTTAGCTTTTCTCATTCTCTCTTTCACATGCTTCTTCACGTCGCCATTTCTTTGCAACTTGAAGCCCAAATATGAGAATTCTTTCACCTTCTCAATTTTTTTTTCCCTCCCATTGCCATACCTTATCCTTCCGGTTCTCTTTACCTTTTCCGAGAACTAACATTTTTGACTTTTTCACCTATTTCTTCACCTATTTTTACTTCTCTTATTCTCCCTTTCTTCATTTCTTCTTCTATTTCGCTACTATATATTGAGAATAACGTGGGACTCAACGTACAACCTTGTCTTACGCCCGTTGTTGTATAGAATTCTTCTGCCATTGCATTTCCTACTCTTACTACGTTACTTACATTACCATATAAATTAACTATCCTCTCTACGAGGTCTGTATCTATATTATTACGCCTCATTATTTCCCAAAGTTTAGCCCTATTTACACTATCGAACGCGGTTTTCAGATCCACAAAGAAAGCGTACAATTTGCCACCTTCTCTATCTTTTCTACTTAACTGTCTTTCCACTATATGCTGTAAGACGAAAATATTGTCCATCGTACTTCAGTTCTTTCTAAAGCCTGCCTGTGATTCGCTTAACAGAATTTTCCTATTGAGGTTTTCCTTTAGCCTTTCGTTTAGGACTGAAGCGTATATCTTATACGCTGTGCATAAAAGACTTATGCCTCTATAGTTAGCTGTGTGATTCAAATCTCCTTTTTTGTGTATCGGGATTATTATCGACTTCCTCCATTCTTCTGGAATCTTCTTCTTTTTCCATGCTTCTTTGATGGCTCTCTTCAATCTTTCTCTCGTATGTAGAACCTCTCCTGTACTGTAGAACCACGCATCGTTTCAGATCCCATCAATTCCTGTCGCTTTTTTCCTCTTCACTCCCATTATTTCTAGCTCAATTTCTTCATCTGTTCAACTTTGTTTCCGAAAGACTACGCAGACTTCACTTGTACTATCCGTTTTCTCCTTTCCCATTTGCGCAGTCTTCTTCCCTCCTAACTTCTACACAAAATGCATGTACCAATTTTCCATAGGTATCTCCGATCCTATCTCTTTATCTCTTTTCCTCTCTCTGTTAATATATTTCCATTTTTGGGTATTAGTCTTCAAATTTTTTATTTCTTTGTGATACTTTTCCCTCGTTTGTTCCTTTTTCTCTGCTATCAAGTCCTTCAGTCTTCTCTTTCCTTCTCCGATCTTATCCTTCCCTATTTTACCTTTTTTCCAGTCATTGTATGCCTTCTTGCATTTTCTCTTCTGTTTCTTGCAGTCTTTGTTCCACCACTTGGTATTTTTATCTTCCCTCTCGATCCCTTTCACTTCTTTCTTACATAAGAGTTCATCAACTTTTTCTTTCACCTCTTTCCACTTGCTTTCGAGCCCTTTTTCTATGTATCCCTGGTCTTTTGCTTTATTCATCTATGTTCCAATCGCTTCAGTGTCCCAAACCGTTATCGTCCTCCCCGGTTCTCGAGCTTCCTTCCTTCAGTTATGCTTACCTTTCAGCTGTACAGTCAGCGGTAGGTGATCAGATTTGGTTCTCCCGTCCGTTACAAAATTTTTTATTTTCCGCCAGCATTCTGTGTTTACAATCACGTAAAAGCTATTGTAGTGCCCCCCCCCCTCCACCCGCCCCCTTTCCCTATGTATCAATATCCCCCAATATCCAATATCTTCTACCAGACTTAATAATCTTTCTCCCTCCTTGTTGAGGAGTTTATCTTTAGCGTTCCTTCTTCTTGTATTCGTTGTATCTTCCACCGGTCCTATACCTCCTTCTTCCGCAATCCTCGCGTTCATATCTACTCCAACCATTATCGGACCTTCTCTTTCTTCTGCTTCCTTCTCATTTAGCCCTTCCACCAGTTTGCTCATTTTCTGATTACAGTATACCGTCCATATTCTCCATATCTTCTTACCTGTAATTTAGTTTCCTTAAGACAGCTCCTTTCAATTCCGTTTCTTCACCACGTACAACCCAGCCCTTCCTCTTTTCTTAAGCTTTTAGGCTGGTTGACATTTCCAGATAGATTGTTCCGGTAATCTACTTCTCCATCTTTCCCAAGCTTTACTGTCTAGCCACGTTTCTACTACACCAACGTAGTCAAATTTTTCTATATATTTTCGAATCTCTTTCATCTTTCCTACTTCCTATTATCCATATTTCTCTTCCTTCCTTCTCTGGTACTGAACAGTCTATCTAAAAATTTTTGTTACCATTATGTTTCTTGAGTGTTCTTCAGCTTATTCATTTGCCTTCTATCAAAACCTTATGAAAACCAATCTTCACCTCTTTCCCATTGCTCCTTTCAGCTTGTGCCCATTGAACTAATTCTCTTTGTTCTTCCCTTTCCTTCTTCGAGAGGTCACGATCAATATAGATCTTCTTACGGCCCAGATCTTTTTTCCTACTCATTACTTCGGCTTTATCTTCCTCCCTCCTTAGCCTTACCAGGATCATCTCTCCGTTTGTCCTGCCGATGGATTTAACCCATTCAATTTCACACTTTAGGCGCAGTTCTTCCTCTAGGAATTTTTCTGTACATTCCACTACCTTTTCCTTTTCTATCCGTAGCCCTTTTATGATCTTTTATGACTTTTATTTTAATCCTTGACATGATTACGCGGACAAATTCTTCGGTTTCTATTGATTTTGTTTCGAATACGAATTTTCCGGAGTTCCTGACTTACAGTTTGTTAATGTTGCTATATATATACGGCTCTAGAGTATTACAGCAGCTAGAATATGATTCATATATTTTCCTCCTAGTATCCTTCCATTCAAATCACATACACTGTCAAAGCGTGTTTTCAGAACATGACGTTATCGAAACATGAGCCTTAAATTTGACTTACACCCTCTTATGACAAGGTACGAAGTCATGGCGTTTTAATACTTTAATTCCGAAAAGCTATGAGAATACAAAATATAAAAATAAAGCTTACTTTAACTTGTAATGTGATTTACGATGTAATTGGGTATACCGGTTACCTTTAGTGCAAACATTCTCAAGATATAATTTAATTCTATTTGGTAGCTACTCCTTATCGCAGAAAATGTGGTTACTGCTATGAATGACATGACATATGTGTCGACAATTAAAAGAAATTTGATGTTACTGCAATTCTTCATATTATCTTCATTTCGTTAAATTCAGTTTTCGTAGTGGTGCATTTTCAGTTTTGGAGATATGTTTGTTACTAATGTAACGAATTATTTGCTATTTTGATCAAGGACAGATTGATGTGATCAATGAAAGGATTGCACAAAAGGAATAACTGTCGAACCCTGTGGAACGTCTGAAGGTATCGGACTTCGGGATACTACATTATTAATGACATTTGATTGAAAATCAAAGAGAAAAAATTAGATAGCAATAAGCTGTGCACTATGCGAATTAGTTATAATGTACATGTGTATAATTTCGCCCACCTGATATTGCACTATCGATGTCAACAGAAATCCTCTATCGTGACATTTGAAAAGAGCTACAGTTTAATGTAATTCATTTTACATTTCATCGGAAAATTCCTTTTCGTTGAACAGTAAATGGAGTCGCTAAGGAATTCTATAGCTTCATAACATCATGTGCTATATAATTTCAGATGAAATCTTTTATGAAGCCTGTGGCATTGTAAGATATTACTATTAATCGTATAATAAGGATCATATCATTATGTCTCATTCAATACTACTGTACATTTAGGTGCATTAATTAATTTATGTGTTATTTCGAAAAAAAACGAGTATAATGGTATATATATATAATGATATATGTATGTATGTATGTATGTATGTATGTATGTATGTATGTATATACAATGTCTATAAAACATCTTTTCGATGCAATATCTGCAGCTATCCTATAGGAATACATTCGTACTAGATATCTATCTAACAGCGACACGAAAATTGCGCGTCTACTTCGTAATTCCATTTAATTCCATTTAATTCCAATTTCATTTTATTGGTTGTCCGTTATGGCCCCATTAGTGTAATTACGAGGTAGTATACCAGATAAAATACTACCGATCGAATTTGCGTTTGGGATTATTGGCGTATTATGATCGCGGTATTCAGCGATAGCAAGTTACAGTTATTATTATTTCCCGGTAAAAGTAGCGGTAATATGTAATAGGTAATAGACGGTATTACTGCTACTGCTGTTATTATTATTATTATTGTAAGAATTTTCAAGTAGATGGAAAGTAATGAAAATGTCGAACGATATTACATGATATTTACTTTTCGAAGATGCATCACGGTAGGTGGAATCTCACTGGCCCATGAAAATTTACATTTTGGACAAGTATGCCTAGCCTTCCAATAACGATGCATGATAGATTGTAATATCGAAGCGAAAGGGGTTACTCCTATTCCAGTTGCGATTAGAACCGCGTGTTGCGCTTGAAATATGTGGCTCGAAGGAGCTCCGTATGGTCCATCTAGGAAAATCTGAATAATAATAAACTATTTAGTTAAATGATAGGTAATCGTAAATTCGTTCTTCGTAAATAACGAATAAAAATAATTTCGTAATTATCGTATTTCATCGAATGTGAATTTATAAAGATTCGAAAAAATGATCTCAGGCGAATTCGTGCTTTATATGTGTGTGTACATTCGTGTTATACGAAACAAAGCATTAGAAAAAGTAAGTGAAAATATTGTAAATAATAATAGAATGTTAGGAAAGATATTGTTATTGTGGTCGCCGAATTTCTCCTCTTTTTTCTTTTTCTTCTTTTTTTTTTCATAAAGAATAAGGAATTCGTAAAGAATAATGAAAAGAAGCATGAGGTATCATTGAAAGAATGATCGAATAATGTTGAAATGTCGGAAAAAATGATGTTGAAAAAGAATTCTTTCCGCGAATATATAAAGTCAGTAAAATAGGGAATTTTCGTTGTGGTAATTGTTTTCTTCGTTTGAATTGATTTTTTTCAATGAAGAGAATCGTTTGATTCTTCGAATAATAAACTTGGAATAATAAGACGCAGCTGTAAGGATAGTGTATACCTCCAAAGGTTTTCCAACGGTATAATTGAGCGATAGGTACGAAGAAGCATCAGACTTGATATTATCATCGGTATGTCTTCTTAAGGTCTTTTCCAATTTCTTTCCTAGTTTACCCTCCTCTGCTGCCGATTGGATCGTATTTGGATTATTCGATGGTCTTCTTCCGTATTCATTCGCACTTGACCGACAACTTGTTTCTGTTGGAACAAATTCGAGAACTCTTATTTTGAAATTAACCAAAGAAGTTACAGTCTGTCCGATAATAACGTGTTCGGTTTTACAGCCACTTAGTCGATAGCTATATTCCCAATTCTTGTGCGATCTTGTAGAGGAGAACTTTCCTCTGAATACTTTAGAGAAATACTTTAGAGAGGTAATTCAGCTTTCTCCAACAAATTCCAATGAACGACGTGTTTTAACGAAATAGTCCGGTAGAGCGTTATAGAGCGTTATTTAAATCACGAGTGCTGTGTTTTTTTTGTAATCACCTGAAAATGGGCCGAAAATGTGACACGCTGCCGCTGCTAAATATATGGGCAATTGAAGAACATTGGTCAGAAAGTGGGTGACGAGGTATGAAAGAAGAAATCTACCAAAAGTTAACAAAAACAGACGACATTCTGTACATGTTTACAGATAATTTAATCGCCGAAAAAATGTTAAAGATGTATAAAAATGCCTTATAGCCATCTGTCAATCTGTACATGGAAGAAGAGGAAAACTGGATTCTAAACTGGAAGATAACTACCCGAAAGATCGGAACAGGTGCTGTATTGCGTGGAAAAGAATATCTGGCATCAACCAGCCCAAGTGAATATACCTACTAATATTTTGGAACTCGAATAAATCAATTTTTCAATGAATTATGCCAAACACGCTTTAATCGGATAGACTGTACGTTGAGAAGTATCACTGTATATATTACGCTAGTTAGCGTATGGTAGAACGAGAAATATTAATTCACGAGAATTAACGACTATAAAGTTTTTCAGATTAAGCAACTTATTTCGAATTTCCTATTTCGTATTGTTTAGCTTAATTTTACGCTATCATTTTATGCAAGTAGATATCCGAAATGGTGGAAGATTCGATGTTCGTTGGAATTTTTTAACGACGCAACTTATTCCGTCATATTGTTGAGTATCATATTATTGGTGAATTTGCACCAGTTCGATGGTTTGCAAATTCGATCAAAGTTTACATTTACGCATTTAAAGGTACACGCGTTCACGCTACTCGAATCATTGAATGGTGAATTCAAATGGTATTTCCAAATCGAATAAATCGAATACAAAATCCTATTTGAAGTTTGAGAATGTTTCTCAGTTAGTTGAATGTTATTCGACGAACCTATGGCGATTGTTATGGCGATCATCGGTGATCGGCGATTAAACGTCATTTATCTTTACGTTTAAACTTTCCTTGCCAATGATCGACTCGATGATAGTACTCGATAGAACTCGACGATTGAATAATTCCATTATATTGCGATATTGCGTTGTTTACATTGAAAATAATGCCGTCTATCAAATTCATTCTCAACGGTATTTACCGTTGTGTTTCTACGATAGATATTCGAGAAAAATATTTTTTTTTCATTTTTTATACAGTTACGGTAACTTTCTTCGGACATTCTTTAGAAACACAGCGTGAGAGGGTGTTACTTAATAATGGAGAAAAGACTAGTAATAGTAAACTAACTGTAGATCTTTCGTAGAAAGAATTTATTATCAAATTATCAGGACTCGTCAACTTACTACCTTTACTCGCTGCCGTTCTTGATTCCAATTCGTAATTTTCCATACTCGGGGTCTTGAAAGCGATTATAGGAGGTTTGTTTCTCATGTACCGAAAGCTTTGCGCTAATCCTTTATTCTGTGGGCTTGAATAAACTTGGTCTAGAGATTTCAGGCGCGTATAGCGGACTTCACGTTCTTTGAAGTTTCTTTCCGACTCCGATCTGGTATAATCGCGAAGTCTGTTGAGAAAATTTACTAATATAATATCTTATGACTTATTATATAATAAGGTACAGGTATACATATATAACCAGCACACGATTTTAGTTTCCGATATATATGTACATATAACAAAGGTTTCTAGAATAGAATTCTAGGCTTCACGGGTCGTATTTCTAACTTAATAAGTTTCCGGATTTCTTTTCTCGGATTAATATTTAAATATATGTAAGAATATGTAAAAATATGTAAAAATATGTTGAAAAAGTATGTGATTCTATTTAAAAGAAAATTGAGGTTAACCTTTGTATCTTCCTTATGGATTGACCTAGAAAAATCTTACCAACACTAGATTACGCGCTAATCTTGAATCATTCAATTCATAACTCTTATTTTAATTTTCGATAATTCTAAAAACTATTATTTCGTATCGTGCAAATTACAAACAATTTACAACTGTCAGACCCGACAGATTGGACCCAAGTGCGACAGACCCACCAAAGCGACGAACGGGCACCTACTTGTAAATCAGCTCATTGACTACCGAAAAGCAACTTCCTTCACAGTTTCCACTCCTCATCTAAAAATCCTTCCGATACAGCCATGCCTAATCAAAAAACTCTACTTTTCCACCACTAACGTCTACTTTTAACCAATCAAAGCAAATTCGAGGAAACATAGAGCAGGACACGACCAGGCATGATAGAAAGCAAAAATTAGTACGTATTCGATACCCATTCGACACCGAAACATCTTCTAAATATTATAAAGCGCGGATTTCAGACAATGCTCCGCTAACGTTTCACATTTAATCATTGTACAGTTCAGTTACAATAAACAGCCACGAACAAGTTAAAATAAATCTCTAAATCTCATGTCTCTAACCTACACTTACGATCCGCAAAATATAAACTAATCAGGCAATATTAATTTGGCGCTTGATGCGTTCTTGACAGTTGGAGAAATTCGACTGATTGGATGCTACGATAATTTTACAACTACTCGTTAGCAAGATTAGAGAATTTCTAATATAATATTTATGAAAGTTAAAATTCTATTCGCTTAAGATGCGAGTATATTAGAAAGTGGGTTACTTTTTTCTGCCTACTTTTTTTTCAATGTACTTGTTCAAAGATCGAACTTGGCTCGTAGAGATTCGAGTATACTTGCAATATACTTGGTCCCATTTGTGCTTATTTAGCGGCGAACGGATGGTAGGGTGTTGGAACCCGGATTTCAATATACAACACGGGTTCTAGCAACAAGGCTACGTTGGAAAAATACAAGTCGGCGGAGAGGAAAAACACAAAACAGAAATTGAAATTGGAACTGACTGAACTGACTACTGAACTGAAACTCTGCTGAAACTGTGCTGAAACTATATTGAAACTGTCCTCAAACTGTGCTGCAACTGTCCTTTCGCAAATTTTGTGGGCGCTTGTATAATGTTAGTTTTTGGGGGGGTGAAGATGATCATTGGTCTTTAGTGAAAGTGGGAATGAGTCAATTGTTTTTGCACTCTGAAATAGGTCTGCGTTTATCAGCCAAGTCCTTCTAGTGACTAAGGGCCAACGAGTCGTTAGTCATCCAACAAGGGTATAAAAAGGAATATAATGGTATAGAAACAACTACCGAGGAATCTGTGACAATGTTGATATGTGACCTGTTGATACGTGATCTGCGAGAAATAATGAAATGCTCACGACTTAAGGCGACATGGTACGACAGGGTATAGAAATTCAGACAAAAATATTATAATTGAATGGCTAAATAGAGATAAGATAAATTACGTAAGCGATAATGAAGTTGCAGCAGAAATTAATGAATGAATCTAATGAAAATAAACGGAATGCAGAAGATCGTAGAACAATGCAGAAGAAGGAGAGGAAACAGAGAAAGCTACAGGTTTATTGTCAGAGGGATTCGTTGCTCTAGAAACATGTTTAAGATGTTCGAATGATAGGCAGAAAACACGGCAGACGAAATAACAAGGTTAAAGAAAATCATTCAGCAGCCAGCTGAAGACGAAGTAATTTGATCAAAGAAAAAAGAAATTTGTTAAATAGGTCTTCTAATTAATAAAAGCAGAGTTACTCGATTATTCGAATGGCTGTCTCATATTTTCGGTTTGATAATAGAGATATACTCTATACTGTATACTATATAATACTGTGGTATTGCGAGCTGGAAAGGACTCTAGCAAAGGAAATAGTATTAGATGCGGTATCGGGTTCGGCTGGGGCGTTCGGGGCGATGTCTGGAGTGCGTGCGGACGGACGGATAACCACGTGCAAGGGATTGTATGCGTGAGATATTTATGTCCGAGTCGAGTACAAGCAATGAACGAAAGTCTAGGCATGTGTCCGAGTTTCTCAAGTATTTGGCCCACCAAGGGCGAGGTCGCATGGGAAATGAGTGATCAACGAAGAGAGCTCGTGTATGAAAAGGGAGAGTGTTAAACTTTAAATAAGTGTGCACGGACACGGGCGAGAGAGAATGCGTGCAGTCGAGATGTAATGAGTAGAGAATCGTGTGTTTGAGAATTAGAGTTGAAGAATTGACGGAAACATAGTGTAATATCTTAGTCGAAATAAATTCGTTTTGTTATTAAAATAGTTTATTAAACGTTGTTTATTAAACGGATAGATGTATCTATACTGTCACTGGTGCGAAAAATCAGAAACTGCCATTTTAAAAGTTATTGGCAATAACACACGTATTATTTGTGGACAAATTTAACAACGTTACAGTTGTCCAGCACGGATGTCTGCATGACGGACACGAGAAAAGGCATAAATTTCATCCTTTCGCGTTTCGTCACCGCTTCTTCACCGGGAAATCGAGAATGATAAATCGAGAATAATTTTCAAAATCATGCAGATTCTTTGTTTTCATGGGTTGGCTTCGCAATAGATTTAAGGTAACCCAAACTTTTTTTCCAATTTTCCAATTTACAATTGTTTACATTGATTTGGAAATTTCGCTCATTATCAATAATCTTGGAGTGGTGCATGTGGAAATGGTTGACATAGATTTTAATATATATATATATATATATATATATATATATATATATATATATATATATATATATATATATATACAAAAATTAATCTCTCAGGAGAAATAGATATATTCATAAACTATGCGCCGAAGAGGTTCCGGGAACGCGTGAAGTGTTTATTTCACACGTTAGATAAGGATTAGGGGACCAGGACGAGCTGCGATCACATACCCTTTTTTCTTCACTCTAGTTTTTACTCTCTACGCGAACAATCAGAATACTCGAGATATACCTTCCATAGGAAAGAATAAAGATAATTGAATTGTAAAATACAGATAGTTATTTCTTTTTACCCATAATCCCAATAATATTAAACCGCCGCGGTTTGTTTATAGAAGGAAATGAGCGGCGATCCTTCGTAACCGATACGACACGTTCACGGAACACGTAATGGCGGAGTCGATGCGGTAGTGTGAACAATTTTTGCAAATATCTAGGAAATTAAAGCCAAGAGGCAATTATTGTTCAGATAAAATTTGTTCAGAATCTCGTCCTCTAAAACCTGTTCAAAAATCATAGGGATAGACCCATGCATTCTGAAGTTTTTAACAATTTTGTTTTTTATCAAAAAACTAGTAACTTTTTCAAGCTGCCCCGATCTATATTTCTTATTGAGGCACAAATAAAGCCTTTTGTTAAAAAACCGGAAAAAAAGACGCATTTAGGGCAAAGTCACTAAACTGCATATTTACCGCATATGAAAAGGATATACGAAGACGCAGACATGAATATAGGAACGGGAAATTTGTTATTAGGACAATCGAAATCAATGGAAGTCAATCGTGTTAAATCGTGTTAAATCGCGTTATAACGTAAAGGAATAGTAGACAGTGAAAACGGTGGAAAAACTATATAGATCTTTATTGAAAGGGCGAACGGTTAGAACTGGCCTGTTTAGGGCCACGCAGGTCACAAGTCGTCTTCAGCATACTGGAGACAAAAGATAAAACGCAAGGGAAGGGATCGCCCCCACATCGTTAGGATGTAGAGTTTACTTTACTATTTAATTTTACTATAACAAATCGAAATCGAAGGAAATTTGTAAAAGGACTCGTTCCTTGCAACACTATTTTCGGTATTGCACCCTTTAATATCGAAAAGATTTTCGGTCGAAGTAGAGCGTATAAACGATACAAGGAGAATAGAGCTACTTATTGCGGACGATCTGTTTCCACTAGTAGCGTCTAATTTGATCGATTAGCCGGGCAAAATGAAAATATTAAAAATTGATACTGCAAGGGGAAGGACCTAAAAGTTTATTTTAATTTTAATTTAAATCTTTTGCGCTATGTGCCTTTCTCGGCCCTTGAATAATACTGATAAGTACTACTGATAAGTAACTCATGTTCTTAGAGCGGAGCGTCTGCCGGAAAGGATGTCTTTTTTTTGATTGAAATATTACGCGTACTTGGACTTGGTTAGGAGTATAGAAGCGAGCGAAATTAGAAGGTAGGAATAGTGTTTGGTGGGTGTTGATTAGGTATAAAAAGGAATAGAGCATCAAACCGAAGGTAGCACGTGAGTGTAAATGTGAGGAGGGTAATATTCATAAAGAAAAGGGCGAAAATTAAATAGAGCTTTAGAGGTTAAGTGAGTGCAAAATAGATAAGGACAATATAGCGGATAGGTCGGTAAGAAGGGAAACCGGTAAGTTATTTAAAGAACCGAACAAACGAGCAGGGTAAAGAAGGGTAGGCCCGAGAAGCTCTTTACGGTGCTCCGATCTGGGCGAACGATCTGGCCGCCAGTTCGCGCAGTCGGGAGATTCTTCGGAGAATCGCCCACAGAATGGCGATCAGGGTCGTGCGCGGTTATCGCACGATTTCTCACGAGACGGCGACGGTCTTGGCGGGGATCCCGCCGTTCGACCTACTAGCGCTGGGAGGGAGGCTCGCGTGTACGAACTCCTCCACCGGGGGGCGGAGAGGCTCCGACCGACGGGGCCGTTTCGTTGAA